TCCACCGAAACCAGTAAATTTTTGAAAGGGGTCTACGAGAAAAAAAAGTTTGGGAACCTCTCATCTAAATGCATTTATTCATCGAAAATTGTGAAAAAATTTCGCTTACATCTTTTTGGCGGTTAGGGCTCGATATGTGCGCACATATATTTTTACATATGTAAGCTCATACGTACAAATATTTGTATATCGAAAGTATTTTAAATCTTTCCACATTGCCACTCAGACCCCATATATGTATATATGTATGAAAAACCATAAACCATTATTGAGAAATCTCTATCGCTACTTGAAATCAAAAGATGTATGTATGTACATATGTACGTACATACGTATACTCTTTTGAGCTCTTTGGGCTAGAAGATTCACAAAGCGAACTATGAGCCACACGTATTTACAGTCTTGGACAGGCAAATAGTACACTTTTGTCTGAAAGATCAAATCTGTTTTTCAAAGCTGTTTTTAAATTAACATCTGTACATAGCGAATGATGAAATGGGGAAATTTGCTATCTACATACATATATAATTCATCTTCACTGGACTTTCCCCAAGAATAGCAAACACCTAAGGAAGCCCCAAAGTTTACAAAAGGAATAATAGGGTATCAACAAGGGTCTTTGGATAAATTATTGACTATAACCGCATAGGTAATTCATATATGAGTCAAACCAAAAAGCCGAGATGAATTTTCCAAGTGCTGTTCCATCTATTTCGAAACAAAGATGAAATAACTTTTTGGAACTCATAGAACACACATGCGCATAATTAATAATATTGTATAATTCATAACACTATGTATAATGAGCTAGTCATAGGAACTAAATCTATTCTCCTTTCCAATAAAAAAAAAAAAAAAATGTTAATTGAACTCACTCATGCTGTCAAAAGCTACATATATCCAGGTATCGTTTACATGCACACACATATAAAAACTTAGGAACACCGTCAATTTTTTAATGACCCCATAATAGTAACTAAACCAAATTCGTATGGAACCACCCCTGAGGTACCACCTTTCCGATTAAAAAAATGATTATCAAAAAAGGTTCATATGGTCCATAGTTGGGCGGTAATATATGTACATAAAAACAATATTGATATGAATTGATAACCATCCTACTTTTTTGAAGTCTGTTAAAAATGTTCATTAGTCTATATTGAAAAATATGGTATCCGAAATTATATTTAGTATTTTTCATAATGATTAAGTATGGTAGTAAACAAGCGAAAATACTTACTCCACGTTTTCAAATTAAATACAACTTTATAACTAT